AACAGTTTAGCTTATAACGCTAGTATATTGGGCATCGAGTAAGCAAAAAGAGATCGCTAGTTAATACCATTAACAAGGCTCAAATTAGCCCCACACTAACACGGCAGCATAATGAGGGTCCTTACATGCAAACCGAAGCATTGAGAACTTTGTAAGTGTACAGACAGTTTAATAAGAAGATACTTTACACAGACAGTACAGTTAGCGCATACAGACAGCAGCCATCTTGGAAAACAGTCTCGATCAGTCAAACCACGAACACGGTGATACGTGAGCTGAACTGTGACTTGGAATCTCATATGGTCCGTTGTTTCCGGAAGAAAGCACTGAGCGCATAAGAGAAGCACTGAACGCAACAGAGAAAATAAAAAAATAAATATAATTGATCTTATCTTCAATATCTACACGTACTGTTCGCTCACCTTCGTGGTTCGATTAGCAATGTAGCAAATTCAAATAGCAAATTCGATTACACACACATGAAATCAGAAACTTGTAATTTACCACATTTGAAGAGGCTGGCAGGCTCTGTTAGAACATACCTCACAATGGGGTAAAACTTACACCCCTGGTGGACAAGAGCTGTACTAGTTATAGCACCCTAGCAACCAAACGACTAACTAAATGTTAAATGAGCAATATCACACTCTTAGCCATGCGCTATTGCTGCGATTCGGCCCTAACCCTAACGCCAGGATGCTGATATACACTTAGAGGTCCATAGCAACCACCCCACACAACTCAATAAGTATTAAATTAGTTAAATCACACTCGTAACAATGCATTATTGCTGTATATCAGCACAGCTGTTATTCGGTTGGGCCTCCTCCCTTAGGTCATCACAGGATGCTGATATACACTAAGAGCTCCCTAACCACCCCAAATGACTAACACAGCATAGTTAATCACAGCCGTAGGTAATTACGGCGTGCTGATATACAGCCATATCGCACAACTACGAGTGTGATATTGCGTTTATACGATAGTTTGACGGAACACGTGAGTAAATAAATAAGAAACAACAACGGACACCTAGTTTTAGGGGTTTTTTTGTTCCTTTTTTATTAATCATTACTTGAATAAAACATTAAAATATAGATACAATATTATATAGATGCATTTTAAAATTAAATAAAATTACATTAATAAGGTAAATTATTTTATTATTAAAATATATAATTTAAGCATTAACTCAATTTCATGTGTTTTACTAACAGCCAGGTGTTTTAATAATTCGTGGAATTGTTGTTTACTCGTTAAACTGCAAGAAAGAGATGATAATTTGGTGGATGATTTAAAAATATTTGTAGATCATCTGTAGGATGCGTAGTCATTTGAATGCAATCATAACCATAGATATACATAATAAAGGCCTTTATTATGTATATCTATGATCATAACGGTCGCCTGAGGGCGCTCAACGACCACGTCATCCGTGAGCGTGAGTTTCTAACAAAAAAAAAAACAATTTACTAAAAAGAATAAATACATACAATAATTTACCATTGTTAATTTGTGTTTTTTTCGTTTGTTATTTTTGTATTTAACCCTTTCACACGTAACTTAAGTTTAAAATATTCTAACTGATCCCCCAGCTTGAGTTTTTCTAGGCGACCGTTACTGTCACTTTAATGTTTCCATGGTGACGGGTCATTGCTTGTCACGTGACACAGAGCAACCACAACACATCGCTGAATGAATGATGATCTGCTTTCATGTCATTTTCCCTTTTCTATTCAAAATATTCACAAATGTATTAGCTATAACATGAAACACTGATATTCCGATTGTCGAATATGTGCAAGTGGATGTGTTTTGTTGTTTAAACACCTTCATAACGACCGCGTTAATTGAGCTGTATGCACAACGAACGTCGCCATTTTTGTTTGTTTTACAGTTCAGAGAATCGGATCTGTTGGATTTACAACACGTCAGTTCCTCCACTTCTCACGAAATACATGAAAGCAAGTGGCGGTGAACTGGGAGAAGAATAGGGTAAAATGTAAAGGTACTTACACAATGTGAATCTGATATGAATAAAACGTGTCGTCTTATTATAATGGAAAGGATTATTATTGCCGCTTCCATAGACATTAGTGTGCATTTTACAAACTCAAAATATATATATATTTTTGCTTGTACTTATGTGTACTTAAATGTCTGAAACCTAAAATAAACATTATGTGGTTGAAAACACAGTTGTGATATATGACAGCACTGTTTCGGACACAGCTACTTCACTTCATTTCGTTCACTCCTTGCAGATCTAGTGCACCCAGATGCCATAACGTTACACTATACTATAGGGATTAGTGAATGAGCGAATGAATGAGCGGTTTAGGACACGAGACAACTCGGTATTCCCGAGTCATATTAAAGATTTGTTCACATGAACGAATCGCTCATGACCGATCCATCACTACAAGGTGTGATTTTATTGGTTGTACAATCAAAGCTCGCTGCTGATTGGCTGCGAGATCGACTCTTCACGGGAGCAGAACTGATGAACTACCCGCATTGTTCTCTTGAGGTAAGTGCAGGCGGTCGATTTCTTATATATGCTGTTTTATGAAGCCTTGTATTGTCAAATTCAGCTCTTTATTTGAATTAAATGTTTACAGTATTCGTATTATCATATGAGTTGTAGTTAATGCTGTTTTTGTTTACTGAAGCTACCTTTTTCTTTGTAAAGAGGGTAACAGTTAATGTATGATCATTTATGTCTACAGCTAGGGCCTAACAGTTAAGTTAGCCACAATTCTATCTTTGTGTGAAACGTAACATGATATTTTGTGTGTGTCTGATGGATATTACGTGCTTTGTATTTTGCTGTTTGTGTAGCTTAACTTAACACTGAGCGAGGAGTGTATTCATTTTGGCGCTTATTTTAAGCTAAGCATCCTCACATAGCTTATGTGGCGATGTACAAGTTAATAGTATACTTATGCAAAAATATTTGAATGAAAATTGTCGATTGATGCTGGTCGGTTCATGTTAATCAAAGGCAACGTCGAAGTTTCCGCATCTGTGGTTAACGTTAGTCACGGTGAAGGAATCCGGTGAGAACCGATTCCAGTGCTCACTGACAGAATTCTCTAATCATAAACAACAAAGTGCAAATATAATGTATGTAAGAAATAAATTTTGCTCTGTAGTTGGCTTTATTTAATATAACGGGAGTTCCATGAGTGTTTTACTGGTATTACTCGTGATTGAACTGAGGGAACCGTGCTTTCGCGCCTTGCGGTCACGTGGTTGATGTTACACAAATCCTCGCTGACAATCTGTTAGATTGGGTTCAAGTAGGATAGAGACGGCAGCGTCACTATAACGTTATTTGCAGTGATTCTTGATAAATAATAACGCATGATGTGACGCATAACGCATCGATTACTACGTTGACGACCTTCACAGTATTTTGAGGAGTGATGGAGACGGAACATTACTATGTTTTTCTTGTGTTTAACCCTCAGACATTACTTATAGATTATGCGTCAGACTCAAAACTGACCAAACACCTTAAGTGTATCTTTATCAATTAAAAATAAATTCACTATATTTTAGTTCAGTAATATTTAGAATGTATTTTATGGTACTAAAGAATTATGATAATGTCGATTGATTCATTACATCAATGTTCATGTCACTCAAATCATGCGTTGAGCCAATCACATGCGTTTCTGCTGAGTTTAAAAAATGCAACGTCCAATCAAAGGCGGTTAGATCAGTCTCAAGTGAAGAATTCCGGTGAGAACTGATTTCAGTGCGCGCTCACTGACAGAATTATCTAATCATAAACCACAAAGTGCAAATATAATGTAAGAAATTCATTTTACACTGTAGACCGCTTTGTTTCATGTTTTTTTTCCTGTATTGAAATTATTTTATTTTCCTTATAAAAGCCTTATTTGATGATTGGTGATCACTTATGGTGATTTCATCTAGATGACTGCTGCGCATGTCTCTGTGCACTGAGAGAACGAGCAGAGGGAGAGAGAGAGCCTCGGCCGCGCGCGCGCTCCTGCCGTCTTCAAAGCGCTGCCTTGCTCTCTCTCTCCCTCGCGCAATTAATCAAAATCAAATGACGCGATGGTAAAAGGTCGGATATTTATATAAGGTTATTTATGACAATGTGTAGATTTTTCTAGAAAATTACTAAAAATGTAGAAATTACCCAAAAAATCATTTAGTTTAGACTGGAGTGAGTTGAAAATGTTCAGCAATGAAAGTTCAAGTTAAATGGGTTGTGAGTGTGATGATGATTTTTATGACACTCTTGTTTCTCTGTTTCAGAATACTGTTTTCATTCCATACTGCATTTTGAGGTAAAGGTTTAATTTAGGGACATGGCCACATACAAAAACTTCAGATTTGACTTCTTGATACGAAAATCGTTATAGTTAAAATATGATTAGGATCATAGAAGCTATAAAAAAAACTGTTTTATTTATGCAACAAATAATTAATTACCCATCCATTGTCCAAACCACTTGTCCTATATAGTAAACCTGGATGGATGGCCAGTCCATCACAGGTTTTAGGCCACATATTTTACAGAAACTCTGCTTCTTGAAAATATGAGAGAATGTCAAGAAAAAACATTATTGCGATACATTCCTAAATTATATTCTACATATAGATAAAAATAATGAATATAGAACATGCAAAGAAGTTATGCATAGTTGACTCAAGTTTAGTAATTTTTCATTATGTTGTCATTGTTGTTTTTTCAGACTGACTGATCAGACCTGCATTTTCTGCTGCACTTTTCTCCTTGGTTAGTGTTAATATGGTTTCTTAATCTTTACCATGACATTTTCATCACATCACCATGATTGTAGTCCCTGTGCTCTAATATGTCTGGTTCTGTTTTGTTTCTTTACAGGTTCCTTGTGTTTTGGCGTTTTCCACAGAGAGCAGTTCATTTCTTACCCCCCCCCCCCCCCCCCCCCCCCAAAAAAAAACAAAAAAAAAAAACATTTTACAAGTTTACACAGTGTCTCTTTCATTGTTGTTTAACTGTTTGTTTTTCTTCCTGAGAGTACTACAGGTTTTATCTTTTCAGGCTCAACAGCTGTGACACCAGGCGAACTTTCAAAGTATGTGCATATCAAAGGGAGAATGTCCTTTTAAAATTATTTTGACTAGAAATTAAGTGTATTTTATTAATGTATTACGTTGAAATAAAAGTAAAATCTCTACTTTTAAAAGTTATTCACACAAATTAGTGAGTTAGTCAGATATATTTGACAAAAATATTTTTTTTTCTTTTTATCTCTTCATATTTTAAAGGATGCCGCGGAGAGGAAAGAGATCACAGGCTCAAAAAATTCGTTGGAGGAAGTTCGACCTGGAGGATGAACAGACCAGACCCTCCAGGATTAACCAGGTACTATTGATATCTGTGTCTTGCAACATGCTCATTTCAGGGCACCCTTATTCTTGGGACTAGGGCTGTCACGATTGCGCTTTATTAATCCCTTATATGGACAAAGACAATCCAGATGTAGCTGAATTAATGTGAATTTGAAACATTATTAAAGACAAGTAAGCAGTCAGTAATAATATAAGAAATTAATCAAATCGTTTTTAGAGTTTTTCGGGTAGATCCGACATGTACAGAAATTTGACAAAAGTAATCAAATGTGAAAAAAACACTGCATATCCATTACTGTATAAATAAAATATAGATTGATCTTTTTGTAATGTTACAAAAGGTAGCCTATTTAGTCAAGACCTGTTAGTCATGTATTTGTCCTTTGTTTGGTTAACATTAAAACACTTGCCAAGACAGGTGTTTTTTTTTTAGTAGGTAAATAGCTGTTTTGGCTGAACACCAGTAACACCGACTATTGCAGCAAACCTAGTGACTGTCTCAGATTAGATAAACATTTCTAAAAACTAGATATTTAAAAATGCACCATAAATTGTTGTGCATTTTGTGACTTTAAGTCAGATAAAAGACCATTTTTTCCAGTCTACATTTCGTCAAAGATTTTTTTAAATAGTGTTAAAATATCATCTGATCTTGTTCTTTAAAGATTTCTTAACAATAGTGTTAAAATATCATCTGATCTTGTTCACGTGAACCCATATGTATCGGCAAGTGTTAGATAAGTGTATTGTTACACCCCTAATAGAACGCAATTTTCAAACAACAATTTTTGCATTTGTCTTTTGTGCACACTTACTGTGTACAAATGCCCTTTTCTTTAGTGTTTTTTTTTAGAACTGTTTACAGGGTTCCCGCGGATCCTTAAAAAGTCTTAAATTAGATTTTTAAAATTTAAGGCCATAAAAAGTCTTATAAAGTCTTATTTTTACTTATGAAAGGTCTTAAATTTTAGATGACACTTTGACTTAGACATATCTAAAAGCTTTCCAAATTAAAACCATCTAATTAGCGTACGTATTTTTATTTATTTATTATTCTATCTTTGTGGATTTGCTAGTTCACGTGACATTTCGCGTCACTCGCGAGTCGCGGCAGCATAACTGTCTCCTGCACGCGAGAGGAGAGAAGGAGAAGAAAGGTCGTAAATGTCAGTTCAGTTGTAAGTTCATTCTTTATGTGCGTATGGTGTGCGATGTGTATTGTCTTTTATGATATTGTAATCATTGTTTTAACAATGTACGAGGCACTGCGAGCTGACATCGCATTTGTCTCTCGTGCTTTCACTGCGTGATGTGTGCAGTGTAACTGTTATGTCCCCAAGTTAGTTTTTGTCTTATATTTATATCATATTATGTTCTTATATTAGAATATCACATCAGAAAGAGTGCCGTTTTCCCGTGCACAATTCCAATTGTGATATTTATGTTATACAACAGTTAAATTAACAATAAGTTAACATTGAGTTACTTTTTAGACACAATATTGTCAATATTGTTTGTTTTCCCTTTATTTCGCCGACTAGAATTTCATAATGAAACCGTAGTGAGTCTCAATGCAACCGACAGCGATTATTTCTTGACTGAAATCCGCGTTTTGAACGAATCACTTGCTTTTTCCCGAATGAATCAGCCGTTTGAACGAATCGGTTGAATGAATGACTCCCTCAACTCACTTATTAAGACAGTGATTTGCCGCTGCGGTTTCATATTTAAAGTACCCTTTAAATAAAATGTTAAAATTAGAAATCATTTCATATTTAAATATTGAATATTGATTTAAAATATATATCTCATAGCTTTATTTATGCAGTTGTAAATGGAGTGTAAATAAATTAATGCCACTTCTGATGCCGCTTCTGTCACCTCTGCACTGCAAAGATGGATTTTGATTGAATGATTTAATTTGACTGTAACAGTGGTAATGTATGATTATTATATAATTAAGTATTATTGTATAATTACTGTATAATTTAATTTGAATGATAGTATTTGACATTAAAGGTGATGCATAACTCTAAATAAGTTTAGAAAAAATGTCCATATATAGGTGAAAATGCCCCTGAAAAAAATCAATTTAAGGTGGCAAATATCGCCCCTTAATTAAAATATTAATTTCTGTCACTGCTGTGAACCGACCACTGCATAGAATATGAAAAATATGAATATCTTCGTGAGTCAGCTGTCAACAACAGACCTAAACCAGCCATGGCACCAGCACAAAAACACAATCAGTAAAATATCATCTAATTATTATCAACAAAACGTTGAAAATATCAAGATATATTTTTGTCAATACTGCACAGCCCTAATGTACAGTATTCATTTTGATTTCTTCAGGTCTTAAAAAGGTCTTAAAAAGCCTTAAATTTGACTTTCAAAAGTGTGCAGGAACCCTGTGTTTAGTAAAAATGCCTTTGTCCCAAACAGCATGAAGTGCAATTTAAAATTTAACACAGATTCTGTAACACTAATTGTGACCAGCAGCCTAATTTCATGAATGATTATTTACAGGTTGAACAGGCAAGCACCAGTGCAGCTGTAGCTCAGTTTTCAGGTAGAACGTATGTAGAAGGTGGTGATATTGCATCCAGGGTTGTGTCTGTGCAGGCATCTCATTGTCAGGGTGATATTAGGTATGACAGTTTCTCTAGAAATCACCAGTGCACGTGTGTAGCGTTGACATTTTTGGCAAACCAGAGTGAAGGGATTGCGTTCAAGATGCCTGATCTTGATAGAGTTTTAGAGGAGGGAGATGCGTTATATATCAGCATTAAATTGCAGCTTATTGCTGAAGGACGGTTTAAATTCAACCACCTGACCATGGAGGAAGTACCGTTGAGGGTTTCATCATTTAACCGGACATACGATGTGCTGAAGTCAGGAGTGATGCATGGATACCTCAGAGCCACAGGGACCGAAGAGTGGTTGATTCCTCTCACTGAAAGGCTACAGTGTCTCTCCACAGATGTCAGCTATGCTCTCCTCCTTGTATCTCCAGAGTGTATTGCTGTGTTTAGAGACAGATCTGGAAGGTATGGATACTTTGATTCTCACTCGAGGACTGCTGCAGGCTTGCCCCATCCTAATGGAACTGCTGTCATGTTGACTTTCACCCACCTGAGTGACATGGCAGACAGAGTGCTCAAGATATTCTGGGATCGTGGTGCTGAGACCAGCTATGAATTCATGCCTGTATCATTTGAAACTGAGCAACAGTCTGTCCAACTGCCTTCATCATCTGTTTGTGAACAGGCGTCACAAGTGATTTCAGCTCTACCAGAACCAGTAACAAATGTTGGAGCCAAAGTAAATTTTGTTTGCACAGGAACTAAAAACCAAGATGCGGTAGAAAAAACAAATAAGCACAGGAGAAGGAAAGAAATGCGTAAAACATTTAAAATGTCAAAACAAGGTGGAGATCCTAACGACACGGCTGCACCTTATGTCACCAGACAACATAAAAGACGGGATTGTGAGAGACGGAGGTATGCCACTTCTTTGCAATACCAATCAAAGAAAAAAGAAGCATTTAAGGTGAAGTATAATCAAGATTGTCTCTTCCGAATACAAAGGCAACGGTCTCTAGTGAGAAGATACAGCACAGATTCTCTCTTTCAGACGAAGATGAAAGAATACATGAAGAAGAGGTACAGCACAGATTCTCTCTTTCAGACGAAGATGAAAGAATACATGAAGAAGAGGTACAGCACAGATTCTCTCTTTCAGACGAAGATGAAAGAATACAGTAAGAAGAGGTACAGCACAGATTCTCTCTTTCAGAAAAAGAAGAAAGCGTACATTACGAAGAGGTACAGGACCGATACTCTCTTTCAGAAAAAGAAGAAAGAGTACATTACGAAGAGGTACAGGACCGATACTCTATTCCAGAGGAGAATGAAAGAGCACATGGTGAGGAGATATGCAGGCGACTCAGAGTTCAGAGCACATCACATCCTGCGATGTACCCTGCGCAAGACCCAGAAATGTGCCAGTGATACTTCATATCACATTCTTCATCGATTGCGATGCGCACTGCGGATCAAAAATAAATATAAACCTTACATCCGTTCCAGCCAGCAAACACCCCAGCCTTTGGTTAACAAAGAGATGGAAAGTGCCATACATGCATTCCGGTGTAAGATTCAGCATGGCCCTACACATGTCTGCACAGTCTGTCACAGAGCCCTGTTTCCTAACCAAGTCAGGGTCTGTAATAGAATGAGATACGACAAAAACGTTCATGTTGCAGCGACTTGCCTAACCGGGAAGTATGTTCATGCTTGTGACAGTGCCTGCTCAGGTTCCTGCGTAGTTCCTGAAGAGAGAAGACAGGAGTGGATTTGCCACACTTGTGACAGCCATCTTAAGAGAGGACAGATGTCTTCAATTGCAGCAGCCAACAAACTGGAGTTGCCACCAATCCCTGCGGAATTGGATGAATTAAATGTCCTTGAGCGTCAACTAATTGCAAAAATTTTACCGTTTGCAAAAATAGTTTCATTACCCAAAGGACAGCAGAGAGCAGTACGTGGTGCCGTTGTGTGCGTGCCCTCCGAGATGGAGAACACTGTCAACTCTCTGCCAAGACCAAGAAGTGAGGCCCAGCTGCTGCAGGTGAAGCTGAAGAGACACGTTAAGTTTAAAGGATACCAGCAGTTCCAGACTGTGAATATGCGCAACGTGCTTGCAGCTTTATCGAAGCTGAAAGCAATGCATTCAGAATACAGGGATATCTCCATAAGAGAAGATGCTGTATTTGAAAGTGCCCTAGATGAGGAAGCGGATGTCTCTGAAAGTCACCTGGACGCGGAAGCTGATGCCTCTGAGAAGCAACAAGAAGTTGATGTTGCTGAGCAGAATGAGCAACAAGTTAGCGTTGAGGAAAAGGATGAGCTTCGACCCGGCCTCACATTAGACACGTGCATGCAGCCGCCTGACATCGGACAGGAGATCTTGTCGTACGGTGAGGGAATATTTAGTATCGCACCTGCACAAGGACAAAAGCCTGTTGGATTTTTCAAAATCCCAAAGTTGGAAGCCATGGCGTTCCCTGTTCAATTCCCCACTGGACAAAATTCCATTGATGAGGAAAGACAAATTTCAATATCTCCCAGTATGTATTTCAACGCCAGATTGTTCAGCGTGGACACGCGTTTTGCAAAAGATCAGAGTTATCTTTTCTTTGCACAGTTTGTAACGGAAACGCAACTGGCTAGAAACAGCATGTCTATCCAGTTGCGAAAAGGCAAACCCATCACAAGAGATGGCCGGAAAATTTCCAACAGACTGCTTCAAGACAACCGGGAGGTTGAAAGATTGGTACACAACAGAGACGCCACACGGTTCATGCAACCACTGAGAGGCACTCCATCGTATTGGGAGAAAACTTTGCGAGATCTACAGGCTATGATAAGACAGTTAGGAACCCCTACGTTTTTTTGCACGTTCAGCGCAGCCGAAATGAGATGGCCTGAAGTAATAACCGCAATCAAGGCCCAACAAGGTGAACACGTCGACTTTTCCGAGCTTGACTGGACGACAAAGTGTGAAATCCTCCGAAGCAACCCAGTCACTGTCATGCGCATGTTTGAGAAACGGGTGGATGCGCTAATGACTCATCTGCTTTTGTCGCCTGCCCAACCCATTGGTGAAGTTGAGGACTACTTTTACCGAGTGGAGTTTCAAGCTAGAGGAAGCCCACATATCCATCTTCTTGTTTGGATAAAGGACGCACCCGAGTTTGAAAATGACTCTGACAAGGATGTCTGTGACTTTATCGACCGCAACATAACCTGCCAGTTGCCCGACTCCTCGGCTGATCCTGAGCTTCACCGGATCGTCACAGAGGTCCAGCTTCACAGCAGGAACCACTCAAAGTCCTGTAAGAAGGGAAATGTATTGTGTCGATTTGGGTTCCCCAAACTACCAGTGTCTAGCACCGAGATCACTCGTCCGCGACCACAGCGTCCTGAAGAAGAGGATGACACGGACACTTCTCCATCTGGAAGCTGCATGTTTGCGTCTAAAACCACACAACCACAGCGTCCTGAAGAAGAGCATGAGAAAGCACAAAAACAAGCAGACAGAAAGAAGTTGAGACTGGAAGCTGCTCGAAAGGCAATGTGCGAAGCCAGGACCAAACTCAAGCCGGTGTGGGACCTATTGAATGACCCCCAAGCCTCCTTTGACAGCTTGTCAGAGCTACTGACAGCGTGTAAGATGTCCATCAAGGATTACAGTGACAACGTCGAAGCATTGTCCAATGCCAACGTGATTCTGCTGAAGCGTGATCCAAAGGAGGCTTGGGTGAATGGATACAATCCCGATTTATTAAGGGCATGGAACGCCAATATGGACATTCAGTTCGTTATTGACGCTTTTAGCTGCGTTATGTACATGCTTTCGTATATTTCCAAGCCGGAGCATGAAATGGGCGATTTACTTAAAAACGTAATCAAGAGTGTGCGCGAGACGAACGTTAGCGAGGAAGATGAGATGAAGCAGATAATGCAAGCATATTCCAAACACAGGCAAGTTAGCGCTCAGGAGTCTGTGGCACGAACATGCAGCTTACCGTTGAAGAAGTGTTCACGAAGTGTTGTGTTTCTACCGACGGATGATGACGCGCTAAAGATGAGTCTTCCCTTAAGCGTCCTACAAAATAAAAATCCCGATTCCGAGGATGTGTGGATGTCAGGGATGATCGATAAATACAGAGCAAGGCCTCTAGCGCGTGATTTTGAAAAGATGTGCCTGGCAGATTTTGCTTCGGAGTGCCGCATCGTGTACGGTCAGCAAACGGAAGGCAAAAATGTTCACCGGCTGCTGAACGGCATGGGTTTTTTTCAGAAAAGAACGTCTGGGAAGGCTGCAGTCATTAGATTTGCACGTTATTCTGAGGAAAAACAACCGGAAAAGTTTTACGGTAGATTACTGAAGCTTTATATGCCACATCGGAACAACGAACAGCTAAAACCTCCAGGATTTCCAACATACGAGACGTTTTACAAAGGTGCAAAGGTGGAACTACCTACTCACCCTGGTTTGCTGATCCCTGTCTGTGCCATAGTTCAAGCACACAAGGAGAAGTTTGAAAAACACAGCGAAGAGTTGGACAAGGCATTCGATCAGCTGCAAGAGCAAGGACCGTCTGAGAACGCATGGAACGCTTTTGCACCTGAAGTAGAAGTGGATCGCTTGGAGTGCATTGCTGAACGACAAGACATCATTCCGGATGATGAGGACGTACAAGATGATGTCCCAGAATTCCAGGTTCTTGAACACGGAGATGGGGTCGTGCCACAAATCGAGGCACCGCAGATGAGCGTCGAATTCATTAGGAGTTTGTTTAGGAGTCTAAACGAGACGCAGGCAGCCATATTCTACACGGTCTGCCAGTGGTGTCAGAAGCGTGTCTGGGGTCATAATCCAGAACAGTTTTTCTACTTCGTGTCAGGTGGTGCTGGATGTGGCAAATCACACGTCATCAAGTGCATATACACGGAAGCGACCAAGATTCTGCGTCGACTGCCTCGACTGCGGGAGGAAGGAGATCTGTCCGTGCCTACGGTGCTCTTGAGTGCGTTTACCGGAACCGCGAGCTTCAATATTAACGGAAAAACGTTACATTCGATTTTAAAACTTCCAAGGAATCTGAAGCCACCGTATCAAGGACTTGGAAATGCCCTAGATGAACTACGAGCAACACTACGCGACGTGGAGATTCTTATCATCGATGAAGTGTCCATGATTTCGAAGGATCTTTTTGCCTACATAAACTGGAGATGTCAACAAATCAAAGGCAGCAAGAAACCTTTCGGGGGAATCTCTGTCCTCGCCGTGGGAGACTTTTATCAACTGCCACCTCTGGGTAAAGCCAAACCACTCTGCGTGTACGAAGACGATGTTTTGGACTTCTGGAAAGACCATTTCCAAATGGTTACTCTCTCCGAGATCATGCGTCAGAAAGAAGACTTGGCTTTTGCCCAACTTTTAAACCGCATACGGGTGAAGCAGAAGACCGACGAGCTTGCCGAAGAAGATCGAGCTTTGTTGCTCCAGGCTGTGAAGGACCCCAAAGACTGCCCGTGTGATGCACTGCACGTATTTGCCACCAACAAGGAAGTCCACAGACACAACACTGAAACAATCCATGCTCTTCACACTGACATCATTACCATCGATGCCGAAGACTACAGGAAAGACCCAAGAACGGGAGGGATGAAGAGACAAACGAAGCCCGTCACCGGTAAAAAGGACGACTTGCCTGACACCATACAAATTGCGTTGGGAGCACGCATAATGTTGACTAGGAATTTGGATGTCGAGGACGGGTTATGCAATGGGTGCTTTGGGAAGATTTCTCGTATTGTCAATAAGACAAAAGATGGAATCGACACCGTACACATGCTAGGGCTTCAGCTCGACAATCCACATGCAGGCAAGAAACACCGCAAAAGGGTGCAAGGTGAAGAAGACGACTTTGTGTACATCGAGAGATCCGAAGAAAGTCTAAGGAAAGGAGCGGTTCGTCGACAATTCCCCATCAAGTTGGCCTACGCCTGCACAGCTCACAAAGTCCAAGGCATGACGTTGGAGAATGCCGTGGTTTCACTGAAGAAGATTTTCGAGCCGGGAATGGCCTACGTTGCCCTCAGCAGAACGACCTCGCTTCGTGGACTACACATCACGGACTTCAGCGAAAAGAAGATCTATGCCGATGCTACAGTCACAGCATCGTTGGGAAAGATGACAAGAGCATCATTCGAAGGAATCATGCCGCTTTTACAGCAGGTGAGGGAAACCAAATTGGATCAAACACTTAAAATAATTCATCACAACACAGAAGGACTGTCATCCCACATCGAAGATATCCGATGCCATCACGAACTGCTTCTGTCGGATATTCTTTGCATGACGGAAACTCACCTGACCGGGTCACTTATATCACCCCACGTCCAATTGGAAGGGTACAACGCATTTATGCGAAACAGACATGCCTCCTACTCGACACACCAAGAAATTGCAAAGAAAGCTGGTGGTGGAGTCGCAATCTATTGCAAAGAGCATATTTCAGCTCAGGCTAGGCAGTTTGTGCAAAATGTGACCGATCTGGAGTATGTCGTCATCAAAGTGGATAGCCCGATCAAAGCAACAATCGCTGCTGTGTACAGGCCGCCACACTACGGATTTGAAGAGTTCTCGAAAAACTTGAAGAGTCTGCTGGATTATTTGGACATGGTGGACGAACATCCCACAGTAATCTGTGGAGATTTTAATGAGGATCTCCTCTGCGCAGGGAAAAAAACTGTTCTGGAATTGTTTCAGTCTAAAGGATACACGCAACTGATCACCACAGCAACAACCAAAAAGAACACCCTATTGGATCATATTTACGTCTCTCGTCCGGATTTGTGCCTTCAGGCAGGTGTCTTGCATACCTATCATAGCTATCACAATCCCGTGTACTGTGTTTTGCGTTAATTCGTCTTTTTTTGGTGGACCGATATTGTTGTGTTTGGTGGTAGGTTAGTATGCCATACGGAACCGTTTGCCACTGAAACTGCTTTATAACGCACCAGTGGGGCTTCTACGGCCTTATTCAAACGGGTTGGCGCGTATGGTCGGGTTGTTATGCCATACGGAACCGTTGCCAATGGACCTGGATACGTGACATCAGCGGATCTTCGAAAGCCTTCATCAAACGGGTTGGCGCGTATGGTCGTGTTGCGGTTAGATTGTGGCGTTAGAGATTGTGGTTAGGAGATTGTGGTTAGGTCATGCCAAGGGTTTATACCACTGAGCTACGAAGGAGCAACCTCAGCAGCAGCAGGAAGGACGGAGGAGGAGTGTGACAGCTCCAGGGAGGACACAGACAGTCAGAGCAACAGTGGCAGTAAGTTATAAAAGACAAGGGAAAGAGAGAAGTAGCCACCATTGTAATGTTTGATTTTGACCTTATAACATACATTGTAATTTCAATTGATGTTCAATCTACACAATTTGTGACAATCTGTGCGGGATATGCAGTCCCCTGCTATTCTATGATTGATATGTACTCTTCTGTAAAGTTGCAGGAAGGATTGGGAGACCATAGCAGTCCTGTCTGTGTGCAATATACCTTCTAAAGCTAAGTGTTAAAAGATTTTGCTTCAGTCTGTGTACTACTGCTTTTCATAACTGCGTTTGAATGGAAATGTTATATTTGAATCTCTAATTTTGATTTTTATGTTTTTTAGGAACCAGCCAAATGAAGTGAGATTGCCTGAGAAGATCACGTGTGCTACATCAATGACGATGACGAGCTGGATAACAGATTATGTGCCAATTTCTTTCCGTAAGTTTTATTTCTGAGTTTTTTTTTTTTTTGTTTATTACTACGGGTGTTTTAGTGATCCCATTGTTCATTTATTCATTTCTTTACCAGAGAACAGGTCCAAATATCTATGGCATTGAAGACAACTCTGAAGAATGAAGAAGCAGAGGAAGAAGCACACTGAGGTCAATACTACTGATAAGGTGTAGTATTTCAGTGCATTTTATTATACAATGGTTTCAGGCGTTTTCCCTGGTCAAAAAATGTCTTCGTTGGTGGCCAACAGACACTGTTGTCCTATCTTGCTCTCTTATTAAAAAAAAGATTTTACCACTGGATTTCATAATTTTGTTATATAATCATATTGCTATTAAAAAGTTAAACTAAAAATAATTGCATCAAAAGGTTTAAGTGACCACAAGAGATTGTGGTTAGGTCTCAGCAGCAGGAGGGACGTAGAGGTCAGTAAGCTGGGCTGAGTTGAGTGGGGGACGGAGGGGGGTGATTTTGGGACGCAAGAGTCAATGTCTTCATGTTTGTGGTTAGGAGATTGTGGTTAGGTCATGCCAAGGGTTTATACCACTGAGCTACGAAGGAGCAACCTCAGCAGTAGCAGGAAGGACGGAGGAGGAGTGTGACAGCTCCAGGGAGGACACAGACAGTCAGAGCAACAGTGGCAGTAAGTTATAAAAGACAAGGGAAAGAGAGAAGTAGCCACCATTGTAATGTTTGATTTTGACCTTATAACATACATTGTAATTTCAATTGATGTTCAATCTACACAATTTGTGACAATCTGTGCGGGATATGCAGTCCCCTGCTATTCTATGATTGATATGTACTCTTCTGTAAAGTTGCAGGAAGGATTGGGAGACCATAGCAGTCCTGTCTGTGTGCAATATACCTTCTAAAGCTAAGTGTTAAAAGATTTTGCTTCAGTCTGTGTACTACTGCTTTTCATAACTGCGTTTGAATGGAAATGTTATATTTGAATCTCTAATTTTGATTTTTATGTTTTTTAGGAACCAGCCAAATGAAGTGAGATTGCCTGAGAAGATCACGTGTGCTACATCAATGACGATGACGAGCTGGATACCAGATTATGTGCCAATTTCTTTCCGTAAGTTTTATTTCTGAGTTTTTTTTTTTTTGTTTATTACTACGGGTGTTTTAGTGATCCCATTGTTCATTTATTCATTTCTTTACCAGAGAACAGGTCCAAATATCTATGGCATTGAAGACAACTCTGAAGAATGAAGAAGCAGAGGAAGAAGCACACTGAGGTCAATACTACTGATAAGGTGTAGTATTTCAGTGCATTTTATTATACAATGGTTTCAGGCGTTTTCCCTGGTCAAAAAATGTCTTCGTTGGTGGCCAACAGACACTGTTGTCCTATCTTGCTCTCTTATTAAAAAAAAGATTTTACCACTGGATTTCATAATTTTGTTATATAATCATATTGCTATTAAAAAGTTAAACTAAAAATAATTGCATCAAAAGGTTTAAGTGACCACAAGAGATTGTGGTTAGGTCTCAGCAGCAGGAGGGACGTAGAGGTCAGTAAGCTGGGCTGAGTTGAGTGGGGGACGGAGGGGGGTGATTTTGGGACGCAAGAGTCAATGTCTTCATGTTTTGTCTTTTACGCCTGTGTTATGGAAATCATCATTATGAACAGCAGCTACGCTAATTATTTTCCCTTTGCTTTTCTGCTGTTATCTCGGGACGCGAGTCCCGAGAAAATGGCGTTCGTCAGCTCCAGTTTGTATCCAGCCTCTCACGGAGACTTCAGATGCTCCAATCACAAAGCCTATGAAGTGACGACTCAACATGGGCGATATGGACTCTCTATGGTGGACGGCACTGATCCTCAACAACTCGTCTTAAAGACCGGCGTGCATACTTGGACTTCCAAAAAATACTCTAAATGTTCCGATCCAATCTGACTTGTAATGCTGCCCGAATCATGCACTGTTCCTTCGTTGGCCAGAGGAGAACTGGCCCCCCGACTGAGTCTGGTTTCTCCCGAGGTTTTTTTCTCCATTCTGTCACCTGATGGAGTTTTGGTTCCTTGCCACTGTTGCCTTGGCTTTTGGCTTGCTTAGTTGGGGACATTTAACATTTAATATTCAATAATATTATTGATCTGCCTTACTTAAGGTGGACGTTGACGCAATTTCTTTTAGAAACAAACTTTGTTATATTGTTATATTGTTTTTGTTATATTGTTTTCATGTTATCACTGTGAAGCGCTTTGATACAATCTGTATTGTAAAAAGCGCTATATAAATAAAGGTGACATGACTTGACTTGACTTAAGTAATAGTCTTAATTTTCTAACATATAGCTAACAATTGAATAAAATTAAAAGCTAGCTAACAACAATGTGCTTTATGATTTTAATCACTCCAGTATGAACTTTTTGACAATGTTATTTATTTTAAAAACTGCTGTTCAATGTTTATACATGTTAGTTCACTGTATTTACTAATGTTAACACTTACAACTTTAGATTTGAACAATGTACCGTATTAGTAAATGTAAAAATCACTAACAAAGATTAATAAATGCTAAAAAAGTTAAATGCAGGAAAAACCATGGGTTTTGTTCAAAGATGTATGATTTGATGTAAAAACTAAAGCCTTACATCTGACCCATCAACTATGCTGCTCAATAAGTCTTGGAGAATCTGAACAATTCAAATAAATGTACTAACATTAGCATATATGTTTTACCTCCTCTGCCCTCAGGATATCCAGGGAGACAGATGCGTGCCATTCAGCATAGAAACATCAGAGACAGAGATCACCTGAGCGCAGAGGGAAACCAGCTTCTCCTGAGCAAGCCTGAGAGACGTTCTGCGGGTGGAACTCCAAAGTTGAAACCAAATGTCTTTTTAAAGGCAACAACGGCTCTTTTCAGAGCTACCCACTCATTCAAATAAAGAGCATTTTTACAAATGTATTCACAACAAAATTCTCAGCACTATAGGCTAAACTAGTACATAATAAAAAATAAAAAAAAGATTTTTATAATCTTAGGGGTAATGCTGTATATCTAATAACTAGTAAAACACTAATCCATTTGCTGGGTGAAATTTGACATAACAGGCATTTAAAAAAAATCTTTTTTAAATAAACATTTGGTTAATTGGCACACACTGTGTTTTTGTCTTTATTGAATGTTATTGAAAGTTAGTCAGTGTCACATTATGAATATTTTCTTGTGAACTTCAGAGAAGATCCAGGTATATTCACAGATGGTTCTTTAAGATGGTAAGTGGCCGGGTCATTTAAAAGCTTACATTTAAATGAGCTTTATATACTCAACATTTATCAAATCAAGACCGCTACATGTACAGGATATCAACGGTCAGTTAATGTTTGATGCTTTGAAAAGAATAACATGTATTCATATTCAGACACACTTGTGTCTTCACACAGCTTCACTGAACAACATCCAAATGGCATTTTAATTCAGAAGTGTGCATAATTGGAGGGATATTGATATATTTAGACGATCATAAATTTGTATTCCAATAAATTTTGTGACCTGATGACCATTAGTGGCGTCAAGCGATCGCTGAACAAGCTCATGAAAATGATGACCAGATGGTGTACTATGGAATTGTAACATTTTCTCATTTCTTAATTCTAAACTTTAAAATAGACATCTTTTTTATTTATTTCAACTACAAATGAAATTGAAAATGAAATATAATCTATCAGTTAAGTATTAATGTGCAGTTAAGTATTAATGTAATAATGTATACATATACTAGTGCATCTAATTTAAAACAATGATAGGAAATCTTGTTATGACTTTATAATAAATAAATACAATTGGAACTTAGTTAAAAATATATCAAAATATATATAGTGTTCACTCAAAACACCATAGCGACCGTTTAGAGCCACCTAGAAGCAACATTTACAAGCCATATTTCAGTTCCAGAAAATAGTACAAACATGGAGTTTGGCTTTTTTGACTCAGACTGTCAACTAGTCTTTAAATATCATCTCATAAACTGTAAAAGCACACCATAGCAACCATATAAGGTTCCTTAGTAACCATACAAACACATGAATAAGCCATATCTCAGCACTAGAACATCGTACAGACATGGTTCTTTGCTCGTATGCAATCATTTACCACACCGTAGCAACCGAGCAGCGAGTTTTGCCACTGCAAGCACCACTTCACATTTTCTTCTGGAAATGTACATTCTAGTGTTGTGATTACTATTCACCTAGACAAAACTTCGGCGCGCTACTCCTCCCGCACCTTTTGTCGTAGACCCATGAGTGAGGTGTCAAATCGACCGGTTCATTGAGGAGAGGTGTGCTATGTCTTTTCTAAGCGATCGGTTGTACGATGTTCGTCCGGCGGGCGATAAATCGGCCGAAAAAAGTCCCTTAGACTTAACATTGGCACAAAATTTGTGAGATCATATCTTTTGACCAGAAGGTCATAGAGACTTGGGGTTGGGCTCTTTTGACTCGCCCTATCAAGCAGCCAATAAGTAGTGACATAATAACTTCATTTTCACTTCCTAACAACCACTTAGGGCAGCCTAGCAACCATAAAACAACATATTCAAGCCATATCTCAGCTCCAGAAAATAGTACAAACATGGAGTTCGGCTTTTTTGACACAGACTGTCAACTAGTCTTTAAATATCATCCCATAAACTGTATAAGCACACCATAGCAACCATATAGGGTACCCTAGTAACCACCTGAACACATGAATAAGCCACATCTCAGCACCAGAACATCGTACAGACATGGTTGTTGGCTCGTATGCAATAATGTACCACACTTTAGCAACCGAGCGGCGAGTTTTGCCACTGCAAGCACCACTTCACATTTTCTTCTGGAAATGTACATTCTAGTGTTGTGATTACTATTCACCAAGACAAAATTTCGGCACGCTACTCCTCCCGCATTTTTTGTCGTAGACCCATGAATGAGGTGTCAAATCGACCGGCTCATTGAGGAGAGGTGTGCTATGACTTTTCTAAGTGATCGGTTGTACGATCTTTGTTCAGCGGGCGATAAATCGGACGAAAAAATTCCCATAGACTTAACATAAGCACAACATTTGTGAGATCATATCTTTTGACCAGAAGGTCATAGAGACTTGGGGTTGGGCTCTTTTGACTCGGCCTATCAAGCAGCCAATAAGTAGTGACATATTACCTTCATATTCGCACCCTAGCAACCACTTAGGGCAGCCTAGCAACCATAAAACAACATTTACAAGCCATATCTCAGCTCCAGAAAATAATAGAAACATGGAGTTTGCCTTTTTTGACTCAGACTGTCAACTAGTCTTTAAATATCATCTCATAAACTGTATAAGCACACCATAGCAACCATATAGAGTACCCTAGTAACCATACAAACACATGAATAAGCCATATCTCAGCACCAGAATATCGTACAGACATGGTTCTTTGCTCATATGCAATCATTTACCACACCGTAGCAACCGAGCGGCGAGTTTTGCCACTGCAAGCACCACTTCACATTTTCTTCTGGAAATGTACATTCTAGTTATTCTTATTCTTCTTATTCTTATTCTTCTGGCCACTTTTTGACGCGCTACTCCTCCCGCAGTTTTTGTCACAGACCCATGAATGAGGTGTCAAAACGTGCGGCCTGTTCGGGAATGGTGTGCTATGACTTTTCTAAGAGATCGGGGGTACGATGGTCGCCCCAGGGGCGAAAAACGGCCCAAAAAAATCCCATAGACTTAACATTGCGAAAAACTTTGACGAGTCGTAGCTCGGAACGAGGATGTCGCAGAAACGTGAAATTTGCCACATTTGAAGAGGCTGACAGACTCTGTAAGAACATACCACACAATGGGGTAAAAGTTGCACCCCTGTGGGGCAGGAGCTGCCCAAAGTTTCCCCATTGACTTACTATGGTGTAGGACGGCCCATGAAATGGGCCGTCCTACACCATAGAAACCGCTTTAATATTGAACATAACTCTGGATCACAGTGTCATAGAGACAAGGGGGCGGGCTCATTTTACTCAGACGACCAATCAGTCTCTCAGGATCATTGTGAAGCTATCAAGCCACGCCCTAGCAACCATTTAGAGCACCTTAGCAACAACTCCCATAGACTTCCATTGAAAGACATCGAAGGGATATATCTGGACTGAATTGTCATAGAAACATGAGGGTGGTCTCGTTTGACTCGGGGCAGCAAACAGCCAATCATGAATCACCTCAACACTTCCTAGCCACGCCCTAGCAACCATTGTCGAGCACCTTAGCAACCAAAATCCAAAGAGGGATATCTTCCATTCTGAATGTCACAGAGGCATGGGAGTTGGTTTATATCATTCATACTGACAAGCAGCCTTTGAAGTTTCATGATTGGCAGCTGCCAAGCCAGTCCCTAGCAACCAAACAGAGTACCCTAGCAACCGTTTTGCAAGACCAATATCTCTGCATCAGAACATCGTATAGAGATGGGGGTTGGTTTATACATTCACATTGACTTTGGAGCTTCATGATTGGCAGCTGCCAAGCCACTCCCTAGCAACCAAACAGAGTACCCTAGCAACCGTTTTGCAAGACCAATATCTCTGCATCAGAACATCGTATAGAGATGGGGGTTGGCTCTTTTGACTCATGCTAGCAAACAGGACTTGCTATATGCTACACATGCTAGCAGTGAATAGCTACATGCTAATATTGATTAGCTAAGTGCTAAATCATGCCAATAAAATGCTACAAACTCAATAGTAACCATCTTTGACAACTACCAACCACCTAGTAACACCATAGCAACCACCCAGATTAACCTAGCAACACCTTAGCAACCACCCAGAACACCCTAGCAACTGCCTAGCAACGCCCTTGCAACCACCCAGAACACCCTAGCAACCGCCTAGCAACCACCCAGGATACCCTAACAACCACCTAGCAACGCCCTAGCAACCACCCAGATTACCCTAGCAACCGCCTAGCAACGCCCTAGCAACCGCCTAGCAACCACCCAGAACACCCTAGCAACTGCCTAGCAACCACCCAGAACACCCAAGCAACCTCCTAGCAACCGCCCAGGATACCCTAGCAACTGCCTAGCAACGCCCTAGCAACCACTCAGAACACCCTAGCAACCACCTAGCAACACCCTAGCAACCACCCAGAACACCCTAGCAATCGCCTAGCAACACCATAGCAACCACCCAGAATACCCTAGCAACCGCCTAGCAACACCCTAGCAACCACTCAGAACACCCTAGCAACCGCCTAGCAACACCCTAGCAACCACCCAGAACACCCTAGCAACCAACTAGCAACACCCTAGCAACCACCCACAATACCCTAGCAACCAACCAGAACACCCTAGCAACCACCCAGAACACCCTAGCAACCACCCAGAACACCCTAGCAACACCCTAGCAACCACCCAGAACACCCTAGCAACTGCCTAGCAACACCCTAGCAACCACCCAGAATACCCTAGCAACCGCCTAGCAACACCATAACAACCACCCAGAATACCCTAGCAACCGCCTAGCAACCACCCAGAACACCCTAGCAACCGCCTAGCAACACCCTAACAACCACTCAGAACACCCTAGCAACCACCTAGCAACCACCCAGGGTACCCTAGCAACCACCTATCAACGCCCTAGCAACCACCTAGATTACCCTAGCAACACCCTAGCAACTGCCTAGCAACCACCCAGAACACTCTTGCAACTGCCCTGCATCATCATAGCAAACTCCAAGAACACCCTATGTGCAAGTGGATGTAAGCCCGTAGGCAGGGGGGGTTCGGGTGGTTCGAACGAACCCCCCTCACTGCCAAAGGTCCAGAATTTAAGTCGTTAAAAAAAAAAAAATGTTTATGTGATTATTGTCATCATTGTTTTAATCAATGCTTGTGACAAATATTCTTGGTTGCTGTTTCAAATTAATATGATTATTGTAGCTGGACGTGTGTGTGTGTGCGCCGCGCGTGCAGTTCAGAGAGAGTT